TTAGCTTTAAAACTTCAGTTTTCCAGAATACTCTTAAATGAATTTTGGTAAGGGATTAAGTCAGAATTTCCCTGACTTCTAAAGTGACCTTTATAGTACAAGGTGGTCAAAGAAAAACCTTCCCGATACATGAAACCGTAGCGTTCTATCTGCTCAACCAATCGAAATTGAATTTCAGATATTGTTATTTGAAGGTATGCGCTCAATATTGTGGTGATTTAAAATAATACAGCTTTGACGGTTACGATTACAGTGAAAATATTTCGAAATTTTCAAATGGCAATACCCACTTTTTCTCCTCCTCAACTTGATCAGCGATTGGAAAATCATAAATGGCATTGGAACGATACACATATGACGGAAATTGCCGGCATAAAGCATTTGCAAAGAAGAGCACGATAAAGAACCAATGAAAATAGAAGAAAGGAGAGGAAAAAAAACTTTCATTGAAATTACAAGTTTTCAAGGTGTCCACCTTCGCAGACGACAGCACATTGCGTACGGGCGATTGTTGATAACAACGAACATAACATCGCAGGAGGTATCTGTTTCACTTCGTACTTTTGGCATCTTTCAAGGTCTGAAAAATCTCGTGGATTTGTTGGGTGCACCTTAGATTTCAGATTGCCTCAGAACCAGAAATCCATCGGAGTGAAGTTGGGGTCTCGACCCATTAACCGAACATATAAGACCTTCGGGAACCGGCGGCTCGTCACGAGGTAATTTTCGTTAATCTGGAGATTTTTAGGTGTAGTCACGTTTTAGTGACTACGGACTAACACTGCTTAAATTATATTGCGAATGTTTTCTCTAGACGCAAACAGCCCTCGCTTGCTTTCGCCTTATCAAGTAAACAACCAAATAACAAACGAGTCTCTGAAGATCCTTTGCATGAGGTAATGCACATAGTAATTTGCTCTAAAATATAGTAAAGCTTTATTCTGAGAATTTCATGCATATAGAGAAACTCTATGCGAGCACTCTCCTTAAGCAAAAATATTCTGTTACCTAAGAAGAGGGACTAATGATGTAAAAATGCAAATCCCTCTTTGGAAATGAATAAAATTTTACTATAAAGTCATTATCAATCTGCTTAATTTTGTATTTTAACCAGCTGCTGCACTAAAATATAGGGTAACTCAAAAGTCTTTTAAAATTAAATAATTCACTGAATAATGTAGGTTGTAGGTATAGAAGTAAGAACTAACACACATACTTGAAATAGGTTTTATTAAAAGAGAGGAAAAAAAAAAAAAAAAAAAAAAAAAAAAAAAAAAAAAAAGCAGCATAAAACGGCCAACAGATGGCTTTTCATATGATAACAGAAGCAATAATTGGTATGGCAATTGATTTTTAGGAAAGACTATGTTCTTTATAACGAATTTTCAACATATCGGTCGTCATTCATCAACAATACCTGTAGTTGAGAGACGATGGTGTGAACAGCACTGTACAGCATGACTATAATCATCCTGAGAAATTGCAGTCGCATGTTGTCTTTTAGCATCCCTAATGAGGTCGGACGATCGTGGTAGACTTTCGATTTCAGGTAAACCCTCAACCAATAATCACACGGATTGAGATCTGGGGGATCTGAGAGGCCAAGCATGACGGAAGTGGCGATCCTTAGCAATCATCAGCGATCCTCAGCAAACGATGTGTGCAAGAGATCTTTCACACGTGTAGTAATATGGGGTGGAATGCCATTCTGCATAAAAGTCATGCCTTATTACGACAGGTCTTTATCAGCCAGACTAGGAATAATGCTATTCTGTAGCAAATCAGCGTATCTCGCACCCGTCACACTGACAGTTTGAGTAGCAGAACCAAGCACTTCCTCGAAGGAGAAGGTTCAAGAACTTCCTCGAAGGTTCGACTGATGTGATAAATCTACATCACACCGTGACCAGTTCCCTGCGGGGAGGATAGAAAAGTGACAAAGGTCATGAAGGAACTGATTTCCTCTCTCACTACAGCTCATTTCATATACGTTTGTCATGCAGCGGCACTGACACTTTGCTACCCAACGCCATTATGTTGGTCTTTTTGTGCTTTTTACTTATTTTAATAAATGATAAAGACCTTAATTATTTCGTGAATTATTGAATTTTGAAATGTTAACGGACTACTGGATCACGTTGTATTAGTTCAATAGATTCCGTTATAGGCCCACCAGCGGTCGCTGAATACTGGTAGTTGGATCCGGGGTTCGAATTCTAGCGAACAGGCTGGCTGCATGGACGTTTTCGTCCTTTTCCCCATGTGTAACATGGATATGAGCCAATTCCCCTTAGAAAGTCCTCCACGAAGGCATCCTTCCCCTTAGATAGCCCTCGATTGTAGAACTAATTTTGCCCGGTTAATGAACACGAACAAAACGAATGCATTGATTCTAACTCCAGTCTCCCGTAAAAGGATATTAATTCTTAAAATGTAAAACATTTAATTAGCATCTACAGCACTGATGCAGTATGCATATTTTAATATTTGTTTAGAAAGAAGAGCATGCATTTGGTTTATTCATTAATTCTACTCTCACTTTCTTATAATTTTACATATCATATCATAGCCAAGAGCATAATTAAGTCGTAGAAAACTGAACTAACTCATTAGATTACTGAGAACTGCGCACATTTGATTGCAATTGCTTAGGATTGACTTTCTCTTAGGAATTAATCCTCAATATGGAGCTTTAATTTGTATTAATTCCAACAATTAGCATCAATCAATTTGTACAGACATTAGGTATATTTTAGAAGGAGGAGAGATGAAAAATGAGCATCGCCTTCGCCGGGAATCAAACGACGGACCTCTGGAACACGCGCCCAGCATACAGACCACAATACCACGAAGGCACGCTAAGAAGGTGGGAGAAATACCTTATATACTTCCCTTTCAAAGAGCGATTGGAGTTTTAGGGGACCCAATCGCCAAATCCTGGGTGTGGAGAATCATCATCCACCACCCTTTTAGTTCGGGCGCCACTGCAGAGACATTAAGTATTTTTTTTGGAAGCAGGAGAGATGAAAAATAAACATCGTCTTCGCCGGGAATCGAATCACGAACCTCTGGAATACGCGACCAGCATGTAGACCACTATACCACGAAGGCACGATAACAAGGCGGGAGAAATACCATATAAGTTCAACTGCATTATTTTCCTGAAAATCATATTAAAAATTTAATTTCAGTTAGTTTATGTGCTTGCTAAGCGATACCTTTCCATTAGAATTTTCTAATAGAAAGTGGCCAATACATTACACATGATGAAATTCACCAAAACATCGTTCGACGGAATTCGAATCTCTTTCCAACTACAGTCAAAAGTCTTTAATCCGGACTCGTCGGGACTACGGCGATTCCGGATTATAGATCATCAGTTTAAATCTGATAAGATGGCATGCAGAAATTATAAAATTAAAAATATGAAATCGTAATTTATAAAATAATGAGCAATTATGATCTACAGGGTATCAAAATTTACAAAAAAAGAAGCTTAATATTTATTTGTTTACTTTATTAAACATTTCTTTTAACGCGCGCATGCGTAAAGCATACCTTACGCATAGCCGAAAATAGAAAATTGCATCCAGAAAACTATTTGATTTGTATTCGTGATATTTATAATGACGAGGAATTTGATTTAAATCATATCAAAGATGGAGTACATCGAGATTAAATACTACATTTAGTAAGGAATTATAAGCCGAATAAAATAAAAACATCTGCCCTGAAGATAACGATAGTGCTGACAGATCAACTTCCAGTTCATTGTGCGCCGCAACTCTCCCCCCCCGCGCAGAGCAGCCTGAAATTGATAAACTGATTTCGGAACGTTTAGATAAACAAAGGATATGCCTTTATCCATTTTTTGTAGCAATTCGTTTTTTGTTTGATGGACATAGAAACATACTTTCGTTTTCTAGATCCTTTGGGAGCTCCAGCATCGGAAATTCTATTTGACATAATCGAAAGTTCAAGCTTACTTTTATAAAATTGCTCTTACAGTCTGCAAAAGATAATAAGCCGGATCCAATTCGAAGATTAAGGAACAACGCAATCATCAACATTAACTGAAATAGATAATTAGATAATTTTAGCTTATACCGTCCGTTATACATTAAACGTGCACGCGAAAACGTATTCTGCGCTTGCGCAGACGCATATGCACAGTCGTAAAGGTCTTGCGCGCACGCGTAAACACCTATGCGCAGAAAGATTTTATCTTTGAGGTCCGGATTATAGATCATTCCGGATTATGGGTGTCCGAATTAACGACTTTAGACTGCATTAGTATTCAGAAGCCTTACCCATTCTGTCATTGTTACTTACTTTAATAAGACTGCCTAGTAAAAACTGCCACGGAATGCGTAATCGAAGACAAGCTTTTGAGTAAGTCGATGAAATTTAAACTAGTAGGCTGTCGATAATGATGATAATAATGGTATAAATTAGAAAAAATTGAGATTCATATCATTGAACTCACTTCACGAATATTAGGTCTCAATATATTACGTTTGCCTAAGCTATATTCAGTTATTAAAAATTCAATTTTCTGAAGCAAATTGAAATTCCATTATTCAAACAAATTTATTTTTTGATCTTTGATTATTACATAATCTTTCGAACATTCGTCAATTCAAACAATTTATTATGTAATAGCATCAAAAGATGGATTCATGAGTTGCCACAAGCCATAACAAAAAGCCCCAAAATCATTAATTAATTTGAAAAATACACGCAACCTGCGTCTTAAAATAAGAACCAACACCTCATTCATAAATTCACCGTTGGTTAGTAAACAATTAATAAAAAAAAATGTACTAAATTTATTCCATAACAAAACTTTAACAGATAGTTTGATAAATTATTCTAATAGTTATAAATTTGAATGTTTAATCATTGTTTACAAAATAATTCGAATCTTTTGCTATTCATGTGATTGCCCGAGATGATATAATGTTTAGAAGGAAACTTTTACTTCTACCATTTAGACGATCGTTTTATCCTTTAATAAATAACTCTTAGATTATAAATTAGGCGAACTGATATTAGTTTTGATTTCGTCTAAAGATCTGTAGAAATACTTAATGTAAGTCTTTTATCATATTTAAAGATATCTTTTTAGATTAAAAATGTTTTCATATTTGTATTCACTTGATTTTTAGCTAGATATGCTTTATGTTTGATAAAGTGATGCAAACTTTGATAAAGGTGTTCTAACGTTTCTGAAATTTTTTTCAATAGAGTTATATATTTATTGCAACATTATTAGAAGATGGTGTGGGCTAATGATATAACTGTTAGAGAAATTTTTAATTCTGTGAGATCTATTATTTTTTGAAATCACCTACCAAAACCTATCGTTTTGGCATTTAGTTTGTAAACTATTATTGAGCTGAATGCTAATATAAGGCATGTTCATTTTGTTTGTAAATCGATTAGTCCTTACTTTAAAATAAAATATGTTACGGAACATATAATCATAATATATTTGATTAATTTAATAGTGCTTAAAGATGAAAAAAAATCATATATAAATGTGCATTTTTATTCCTTTCTTCGAAGTAAAGGAAGTATTGTAATAGCGAAACATTTCGGGTATCATATTTCAACGAAAAAACACATCAGATATTTTATTTCAGTTATTTAAAAAAAAAATAAATTTTATAACTGTTCATTTCCTTCGTCTGTGGTCCTCATTTTTGTCTTTTTATAAATATCTGAGCAATGTGTATACAAGGGTGGTGAGAGTGCAAAATAAACACAGCAGATTTCCTTTCCCTTTTAATGATATCTTCATTCGAAGTATGGAATCTAGGCTTTCCAAAGGCATTCTATTTCAAAATTTGGTTTTGGTAGAAGTGTCTGTTAAAATTACTCTTTCTACAGTTGCATTGCTTGGCAATCAATAAAACATGTAAGAACACCCAAAACTACGTCCACTAAAATATTCTAAATGCGTATTTACCTGTCTTGGTTTGCATCTACGATCTCAGGATTGCCAGATGTGAACTTTGATTTAAGTCTAAATAAATCTTATTATTGTCATTTATTACATTATTAATCTTAGGAGATACATTTTTGAATATATAAGAATTTTGTGATCTATTAAAAAATTTCAAAGTAGCACAAGAAAATGATGTAGCAAAAATTTTTTTCCAAACTCCCATACACATAAATTTCAGTTGCACAGATTTATCAAGAGTAGCAAATTTGCGAAAAATCGCAAATGTGTCGGTCGCACGATCTGGCAACACGCACGATATGGCCCTCAACGATCTGTCCCACGGACTGTAAGGATCTGGCCAAAGAATATATAGACATTCTTTGATCTGGCCTCAAGAGAAAGAAAAAAGACCCACTCTATTACATTTATTGCACAAAGCCACAGAGTATTATACTCTGTGCACAAACAAATAAACAGTCTAGGACACGGATTATACTTCGTTATTAAATTAAATTATTTTCGCTAAAAACCGCAAAGCTCAGCAGTCAAGTTTACATACGTTTCTTATTTAGGCTAAGGGTTCTGCTAGAAGTCGAAAGACAGCGGAGGATTGAAGCCACAAGGGGGGGGGGAGAATCCTCATTTTTAAAATCACCGTATTTTTTCTATTTTTGTTAAAAATCATTAATGATTTGGTGTTTTTCCGGAGCGCGATTTCTGCGACCTGTAAATCTGCTTCTGGCTGCAGGTATTGTTGTTAGTCTTAGTTGATTTAATCTGCTTATTGAATGACTGATGAATAAAAGCATGATTAAATAACGTATTTGAAGCAGCATGAAAGTCAAACAGTTTTTTCCTCCTGAATAAAGGTTTTTTTGGAAAAAATGTTTACAAAAATCACACACCGCAAAAGTGTATTTTATTTTCAACACACTGTAACTGTAACTGTAATTATGAATTTTGCGCAAACTTTTAAAAATTTCTTGTTTCATCGCATGATATTATGCAAATTCAACGGATTATGTGGTTTTAAATTAAAAATTAATGCCATTGAGGCTTAGTGACGGTGTTTTAAAATCCATATTTTTTCCGATAGTATTTTGCCTACATTTCGTAATGGCATGTAGTAAGTAAATATTTGGCTGGTGTACCTTCATTAAATTATAAATAATATAATAATGTATATATATATTATTATAAATTGTGTTCAGCTAGAATTTTATTCGGTACAACTTTGATATACCCCCCTTACATATTTAAAATAATATTCATGTTAATTTTAAGAACAAAATTGATCTTGCCAAGTTTTTAACATTTTGAAATCGAGAAATAAGTAATTTTACTGAAAATTAGCAGAATGGAATGAGAAAATTTTTGCAGTTGTTATCATTGAGATGTTTCACAAAGTACAGAAATAATCAGTTATGTCTCAAATTAATAATTAACTACTGATTAAATAATATTTACATTTGATGTCATCAAGTTACTAAAATATTTTAAAGGATAATTTCTAAATTTTACATGAATAATACTTACGTCGATAATGCATGAGATTCATAAGTTAAGAAAACTTTTTCTTGTGTGTGTGTGTGTGGGGGGGGAAACATATTTTTTTTCTTTTCACAAAGTGAATCTTTCCAATATTCTATTATTATATATCTTATTTACTGTTCTGGAAGTAGATCAGTAACCAGTAATAAATAAACTGGATACAAGTGTTAGATGCATAACTATAATTTTTAGTTTTCAGTTTAATAATTATAAAAGTATTATCATGTATTATATATGCTGTTATTGATATAACTAGTATTCTTATTACTGTTATAAAGCAATTATTATGGTGATACAATGCACTTTAATAATTGTTTTGTAACAATAATATAAAAAGATACAAATTTTGCATAAAAAGTGTAAAAACAGGACAAAATTTGGTATTCATTTGTTATCAGGATTGGATTCAGAAATGTACGTGTTCATGTATGCAAATACATAAGTATGAGGTATACACATGCACATACTTACATACACATGAGCATACATACATTTCTGAAACAGGTCTCGATAACAGAAGAGTACCAAAAATTTCTTAAATGTAAAATGACTTGTAGTCTCATGTATTTGTACTATTAATATCATGTCCTGAATTATAGCATACATTTTCCAATCAAAGTATTTTGAATCAAATACAATTAATGTCCTTTCATCTAATCTTTGGAATATGGTAACAATAGTTTGGCGGGTAAGGCGATAAATGTTACTAAAGTCAAGAGTGTGCGCAATGCCATTTTTGTGCAATTCTGGGATTTTTTTTAAGTGAAAATAGATCGGCGTGTACATGGATACGATGTTGTATGTGCAATTCTTAAAAATGCGGCAAGCAGTGGGCGATTCTGCACTTTCTCCCAATTTCGCGCCTAATCTTCATCATGATTAAGCACTTTTGTTCCATAAAAGTTCTAGCATAAGCGTAATTCCGCTTGGCATCCAAAAAGAAAACTAGCAGGTTGCTATAGCAGGGTTGGTCGCCATATTTTCCCCAAATAATTGCCAAGTTACCATAATCAAAAGATTAACCGTCATTTCATTTTGATTAATTTTGATGTTGATGAGGCCCACCTGCGAGTACTTGTGGAAGAAGATTAGTATGCACTACTCGAGAGCTTGCTAAGGAGTTGCACTATGCATTGCATAAACTTGACGTACATGCTCAATCGCTGGGTGCCACATGAGCAGACTCAAGCAGATAAGGACAGATGTGCTCAGGCGTACACTAATCTGCTTGAAATCAATGCTAGACAAAATTGGGGATTGGATCATCACTTGTGATGAAAAGTGGATTTACTTCAACAACACAGGCCGAAAGGGGGTTTGTCTGCACCTGAGAGCCAGTCAGCAGCAACGCAAAGTACAATTTGATCATACAAAAAACAAAGAGATCATGCTTTGTATCTTGTGGAACTGCAGCGGTATTATCCATAAAGATAATCTGGGAAAATGTTATACTCATGACAGTAAGATTTACAGCGAGATGCTAGTCCATGTTAAAGCTGATATCAAGGAAAAATGTCGAACTGAGTTCCGGCGTAAAAAGGGAATGTTCCATCAAGATAATTCGGTTAGAGTAGACTTTAAGGTATCCGTTGTATTAGGGCAAAGTTGTTGTTTCATTTTATCGCCAAGTTGTTTCATTTATGGTAGCCTGAGTAGTTGAATGTTATGGAAACCCTATTATGACATAATCGGGTGCATGATTCTGGGAAATTTTGAAACATGGGATGTTTTGTAAGCGCTTTTGTGGTGTGTGTTGGTTTTATTGTTTAGATAAAATTTTATTGTTGAATGTAGTAAGATTAATTTAAAGTTTCTGTATGATTTGGAACGAAAGGGGAAAAGAGCGTTAATTGACTGGTGTGTAAATAAAGGTTTACTTAGTAGCCATTATAAGTATGTAGGAAGGATATGTCTAGTTGAACTTAAAAACTGTTTAGATGGATTTAAATGGGTTTGTAGGAAGAAAGGTTCAGATGTGGCGACTCCGATATATGGATTCGATTTCAAATAATTTTAGGAAATTTTTGGATGCTGTTAAGGAATTATGTGTGCCACAGATTAAAGACGAAGGAATTTCTAAATAGGGTAAGTGGATATTTGCTTTTAGTAGTGCTTAAATGTATAACATGCTTTTCCTTTTTTATGTTATTTTATTGTTTGGTTTAAATTGTAGTTTATTGAGATTATGCATTTTTTGTTTGCCTGTATTGTAGAATTGGGTGCTCCTTTGATTTTGTAAGTTAAAATATATATAGCGATGTGTACATGGACAAAGTGAAGGAAGTGTGCAATACAAGTTTGTGCAATTCTTGGTTTTTTTTAAAAAATAAGTCAACGTGTACATGGCTAAAGTCAAGGCAGTGAGCAATGCCATTTTTGTGCAATTCAGGATTTTTTCTTTAAGTGAAAATAGGTCGATATGTACACGGATACCGAGTTTGTGCAATTCTTTGTCTTGTTATTTTGGCTTTGTGTAGCGTCGATTTTTGGTACGAAAATCGCCGTTATGCAAGCCAAAATAATAATTCAAAGAATTGCACAAACTTGATATCCATGCACCACAAACAATTGCCAAGTTTTGCCAAGGGGTACCCTAAAATATACTTTTATTGATAATTCAAGACCACATGTGTCTGCATTTACCAGCTGGCCTCGAATGAGATCTTTCGCCAATCCCATGACATAACCCTGACATCGCTTCTTTGGACTTCTACCTTTTTCACACCTACAGCTACATCTTGCTGGTGTTAGCTTCCATTCTGCACAGATGTCCGAAATGAGGTTGGTCTGTTTTTGGACTCCTGGCCACCAAGTTTCTGGGCCGAAGGCTTTGAAAAACTAACAAAACAGTCTTAGAAAATCATAAATTTGGATGGTGATTACTACTTTACTGAAGGTACTCTACGTTTTATTTTATTTATTATTTTTTTATTTTTATTTTTTTTTTTAACTTTAAGAAGGTTTTTTTGGTGGGAAAACTTCATCATTATTTAAAAGCACTTTAATAAATAAAAGCTTTTCATCCTTACTCAAGATTTTTTCTATAAAAGTGCAAGAAAATTGCAAATGAAATTAGCAGAACATAAAATTTAGAATATCTAATTAAATATTTATATATTTAACATCCAAATCATATTATACATGGTTCAATAAACTGAATCTTGCATTATAAATTGAATTTAAGTCAATTTTGAGTTGTTTTGAAATGGTGTTACTGCACAGCATGAAAACCTTCTAAAAAATATTGGTTTTTGTGTAAAAATGGTAATTTCTGCTAAAAACTTCCAGTTTTTTTATACTTCAAGTTTGGAAGCTATGGTATTTTTATCTGTACTGGAATAGAACGTTTAAATATGTTGTCATCCAATGCCATAGCTTTGCTACCATCAATCTGTCAAGGTGTGATGAAGAATTAATAGTGGAAACTTGATTCAGAGTTGCTTTAACTACTAGAAAAGGTTAAAATAATTTTTGCTTTCATCATCTTTTTTTATTTTGATTTCAGTTTATTATAATATCAATAAATGTTGATGTTTGAAATACATGTGTAAAAAATATTTGAAGGAAACTTCCATTTTTTTGAACCAAACAGGGGGGGAAATAACAAATAAATAAATAACGATAAAAAATATCTGCAGAAATCAAAGGATGATTCATAGAAAAAGCTGTAGTATGTATGACTATATTAGATTATATTTCATCTGTAAGTTAAATAAGGATTTTATTATATTGTACTAATTTCACAAAAAAGGTCTGATTTTATATGTAATGAAACTGTGATTGATAGTTATTATGAATATTTATACATATGACAGTTATTATAAACAGTTATATAAGTTAAAGTAATTTTTTTTATCTGGACTAAATTCTGAATTTAATGAGCAAATCTCAAAGCTCAAATATAAATCATTTTTTTAATTCTGCTTTTGAAGTCACCTTTGTTCTGCATCAGTTTTTAATCAGTCATGATGTAAGGTATACTTTAATTTTATGACAGTTATTTTAATTTAGTTCTGTTGTTCCTCATTTCAACTTGCATCTCTCTACCAGAATGAGTTTTTAGAATTGCATTGAATGCAAAGGAGTAAGAAATAGTATTAAAGGAAAGTTCAGCTTACTTCGTGAGAGTGAGCTAGGAATCCTGAGTAGCACACATTTTGCCTTTGGGCTAAGTATCTCTAAGCTTATGCTCGGCCGTATATTATGTGCCTTTTGATAGTTCGCCGGCTAGTTTAAAATTAAAGGCCAACAACGTTAGAATTGTGTTAGCTTCAGCTAAATCTCTTAGTTAGATATAGTTAGTTCTTATTTTTGAGTTTAAGCCCAAGTGAAGACTTTGTGTAAGCCTGAAGAAAGGGACCGACTGTTCATCTTATTTTGAGTGAATAAAGGATAATTAACCCTTCTTGAGTTTATGATTTCTGTTTTTTGAACCAAGTGATAATTCGCTTAACAGTTCCCTGGGTTCCTCAACATTTAATTTAGCAGAATAAGAGTGAGGAACTCTACAATGAAAGTGATGTCCTATGAAGATTTGATTGTACTATGTTGATGTGTAAACTGGAGGATGAAATTTTTCATTTGCTGGTGGATAAAATTGAAGCTTATTTCGTGTGTATGCACATGTATGTAGAAATGCTTAATTTAAATTTATTAGTATATAAGCAAAATCTGAATTTGGAGTAAAGAAGTATTTTCAGAACTATCATTTGAATCAATATGAAAATGAAACCTTAACTTTCTTGAATTATTGTTTCTAAAATATTTATTGCACTTCTTGTAATATGTATGTAGCTCTTAATGTAGCACAGTTACTTTTCATACCCAAATTAGGCAAATATGGCTTATCCAGAGCAAAGTCTTGAAGAAAATGAATTATATGAAGAAGAAGAAGTATGTATATATTTGATGATCAAGATGTTACTTATGTGCAATATATACTAATCGCTAATGTAACTTTAATATAACTTTCATGATTACTAAAAATTTTCAGTTGTCTTAATAGTATATTTTGTTAGTTTAATTTGTAATTGGAAAAATCAAAATTTTATTTTCTATTTGGAGAAATTTTTCTTTTAATTCTTATTATTTGCTGCATTTCAATAAAAATATCCGCATTTGAAAAGAAGCCAAAATAGGTACTGTCAATGTGTAATTTTATCCTTCAGTATTATTAGAAATGTGATTACTGCATTTTATTTATGTAACAGTTAAACAGATTAAGTATATTTTAATCAAATAAATGTGGGAACTTAAGATAATTTTTAGAGTTTTATTTTATTCAAACTTTATATTAAATTTGCTGTTTTCAGCTAAAATATAAAAATCTGAAAATTATTTAGTTAACAAAAATGAAACATTTAATTTTTTTTTTTAATTACAAAATCAAATTTGTTTTTCAATTACAAAATATGAAGACTGTTAAATATGATTTTTATTTTGAACTATAGATTGAATTTTAACAGAATAGATATCTGGGGTTGATCATCATAGGTCTCTGCTAAATGCTGAAGTTTTCTTCTCCAACTTTGTTACAAGCACACTTGTTAGAATTTCTCTTTCTTTTCAGCAATGTGCTTAATACCAGAATGTATACTTAAAAAAACAATTTTAATGTGTATGTATATATGTAAGATAAAAAATATAAAAGCAAACTTTGAATTTTAATTGGCTGTAACCTCTTTTATTTTATTTGGGGACTTCCTTTCCCTATCTTAAAAATAGCGGTATAAGTCTAAACTGCATCATTCAAATTAATCATGCGATCTTACGTAATACATAATGCAGATACCTCTTGCCCAATCAAATAATTGTAATTCAAAACTTTTTATAACTCAAACTGAAACTTTTAATTCCTTCCTTTCTTCCTCTGAATTGATGCGTCACCTTTTTCACTTCAACTTCTGTGCTGCATGGATGCTTTGTTATGCTTGCTTCTATCACCATAGTATCAAAAATGTAAATGTTCTGGAATTAGGTACAATTGGAGTGGCAAGTGAATTGTAGCTACAAATGGGAATTTAAATAAAACAGGAAGTTAATCTGGCTCAACTTGTTCCTCTTTAATGTGGGTCAAGTATCTACACTAAACAACATTGCTATGCTTCAACATCTCAGTGCTTTTACATCAGTGCTTCTAAAATTGAGCTATCGTTACACACATATGTTTATATATATATGTGTGTGTGTAAATATATATGTATGTATATATATATATAAATAATTATTCTGGGACATGATTTATAATTTTTTTAGTCTATCATAGGTATAGTAATCATTTAAAAAATTAAGTGGAAATTTATGATTATTGTTAGGTTATTAGTAGACAGCGACAATGAATTTCCATTAGACAGTACTGCCGTTTTTAATTTTTTATTAGTATTTTCATCTCGAAATGAATGTTATTGTTTTCAATAAAGATCATACAGATATAATAGGAAGTTTTGGGTAACCATGTGCCATAACATTCTAACACCACGTGCCATAATATCTATAAACGGGAGCACTTTAACTGATTGATTATCAGCTACAACTCTAAAATTTAATGCAGAGAATCCATTAGTGGAAGATGCATTTATTTATTTATTTATTCATTATTATCAGAAAATTTAGATTAGTTAACTGATTACATAAATTTGTGTCTATCGATAAATTATTTTTTTAAAAAAAGGAATAAGCTTATTTATCATCTTTTTTTCCAGTTGATAGCATGTAGCTTCGAAAGCCTAAAAGTTTTTTTTCCCCTAACTATTAGCTATCAATTTTCAAAGTGCAGATCATATTATTTTGAAGTTTGAATAGACTTTTTTCAAAGTTGCCTGTATGTAGTATATGTTAACTGCAAATCAATGTGTCATAATATCTCTGCATAGGAAGTGCTGAGAAACTCCACCACAGTCTTCAGATTTTTTCAGTTACATATCTGGATATAAAGTAGAGCTTCAGTAGCTGAACTGATCGATCAGCTCCCCTTATGAAATGTATTAGAAATTCATTGTGTGTATTAGAAATGTATTTCATTGCATTTGCATACATTTGGCAACTACTACCTTACTTTTTGCTGAAAATTTTCTAAAGGGAACAATGAGGAAATGCATAATTCCTTGATAGCTGCTGTCGATAGCTGATTCCTCGATAGCTGCTCTTCTATTATCAGGATTGGATTCAGAAATGGATGTATGCGGATGTGTATGGTCGCATGTGCATACATGTATGTGTTTATACACGCTCCTACATATGTATGTATACATGAGCACATCCATCCATTCATGCATACATACATTTCTGAATTCGGTCCCAGTAAGAGAAGAGCACCTCTGCTATTGCCAAGGTTTGCAGGAAGAGGAGTCTTCACAATTCTCTGTAATTTTTTTTAAGTGAAAACAGATCACAGAGTGCTTCAGGAAAAGAATAGTGCAAAACAATTACAGAAAGATTTGAAGAATTAAGTGTTTAATTTTTTTTAATGTATCATGTAAACCTTATATAAATATTCAGATACATAATTTAAATTGCTAAGCTATGTTTTCTTTTCTTATGTTGGTAATGTCTACCGATTTGCAATAAGTATTGATAGTTTGGAAATCTTTCTTAAAAACAGCACGAAAACCACTAACTTGCACCCGATAAGTAACTTTTACCTTTTCTTTTCTACACAATCGCCAAATTGTGCCAAGGTATTTGCGTTAACATGCGAGTACCAAAATTCAAAGCAGAATGAGTTTTATTTTATAATGAATCATGTAATCTTTTTTTAATAATTGAAATTTGAATTTTAAATTGCTTAAAGTATGCTTTCTTTTGATATGCTGATAATATTTGTTGACTTATGATAACTATCACAGTGTGGCAATCTTTTAAAAAGAAATCGTGAAAGCCACCAACTTGCATCTGTTATTTTTTCATCCGTAAAAAATTGCTAGATTGTGACAAGGCGATTACATCAATATGTAAGTACCTTACATTCTTGCTACTGTAAATGTTTAAAAATTTATCTCGTAGAAAATTGTAAAATTACACTTGAATTGTTTACATGTAAAATTACACACAAGTGAGACAAAATTCAGCTCTGTGAAGTTCTATGTTTTTATTTTCTATTTTAAAACATTTTCTTTAAATTCTGTTTTCTTAAAAAAATTTTAAAATAAAACCTGTAAAGCAGTGTTTATATTACTTTACATTGGTTTATGTAATACTCCTTGCTGTTGGGGGGGGGACACATAAAGAGAGAAAAAATGTTAATTTTTATTATCATTTTAATCATTTTAAGTCATCTAGTTCATCGCCTATGTCATTTAGTTATCTATCAAAACTGTATGATTTCATTCTTTTAAACAGAGTAATTTTTTTTTTGTAAAATATATGATTAAAAGTTTGAATTCTTTTATTTTAACATTACTACAATATATTTTGGTAATGGATTTTTGGTTGATAATTTCATTGTAATATTTTGTGCTGTTGGTGATAATGTCATATTTTAATTTAGTTGTCAAATTTAGCTTTTATATATCAATTTTGTATTTAAATAAAATATGTATACGTATATATATATATATATTTAAAAATTATTAATCTTTTAGGAATCATTCTTCCAAGATATTGATCTACTGCAGAACCATGGCATTGTAAGTTTGCTTAGATTATTATATTTACATCTGTATGTAAATTATATAATTTTGCTTGCTATTTCTGATTTAAATGAGTCACTTTTATACCTGTACTAGTTTGTGTAGTTGTAATGTTTAATAAATGTTAATACATTAATTATAAGTCACAGAATCATTAAGTTTATTTTGGAGAAGGACTACATAGACACTTAGCAGTGTCCTTACCAGGATTTGAAATCCAGATCTCTTGATTGTCAGCCAGACGTGCTTCCAGTTACATCATTGTGGTAAAGAAAATTCCTTACATTCTCCTCGACTAAGGTGATTCCATCCAGTTACCAATTCCTGACGATGATGATGTAATTCCTTACATTCTCCACTAAGGTGATTCCTTCCAATTACCAGTTCCTGGTGATGATGAAGTAATTCCTTACATTTTCCTTCACTAAGGTGATTCCTTCCAGTTACCAGTTCCTGGTGATGATGAAGTATCATCCACCACAATTTTAGTCTGTGTGCTCCCTATCAGCACTTTTTGGAGTCGGCACAGGACAGGATTAATTGTGGGAAGCACCGACACATCACCATTGGCAGAACTGGTGTCACTTCTTCACACTAACTGTCTTGAGAAGAACACCTCCACAGGGCGTACTTACGCCATGCATCGGTGTTAATTGAAACGTTATCATTAAGGCACAGAGAACTTGTGGGCCGAAAGATACAGTTGCTGATGGCAATGACATTACAATACCACACATTACAGTTGATGGTGAAATATAACTATAAATATCAGTATATGTACACAAATATACAAATAGAACTGAATGAAAAAACATTAAACATGGTTAACTTGGTTAAGTTATTGTGATATTAATGGGATGTTTTTGGGACAGTGTAGCAGTTCATAGATGGTTCACAGTTCATTGGCAGTTCGTGGATCGAGTCAGAATTCATACATACAGTAGAATTCACCAGTTCCAGTAATGCGATTTTTGATGTGCATAATTGTGGTCGTATTGTCTAGGTGCTAAATTTTTGCTACACTAAGATAATCTATTGCAATGACTAGAAAGGCACCCCCATTGGAAAACTGGCGTTTGTGCTAGAGAAGAAGAAGTACTTATAACAGTTATGGTGCACACAGTTCCAAGCCATGATGATGGAGTGTGTCAATTATGTTTTTGATACTATTGTGGATTTTCCGGTGCTTTATCAGGAAACATTTGACATCTGTTCCTGGTGCTGTGGGATGGCGGATATGATAGTCTGCTGTTATTGGGCATTAGAATAAATAATGGTCTGGATCACCCGGATTGCCACAAACGCATATTTCAGTCTCTGAAAGGTTTCGTTCATAGAAGTACTTTGGGTACGGTCCATGACCAGAGATATATTGAGAGAGATAATAATTATAAATGGTGCGCTCAGTATCGACACATGGGAGAAGTGAATGCGTCCTTCTGCCTTGCGGTCCTTGGTCCCATTGTCTCTGCCACTCTTCTTTGGCCATCACTTTTAGCGTAAACTTCAGTGTGGAGCGTGGCCATGGCATGTGGATGGTAGTGCCTGACTGTTCGAGGGCTGCCTGCTTTTCCAGGAAGTCCGCTCTTTCATTCCCGGCGCAATTGCTATGACCCTTTGTCCATGTAAAGACGAAGTTCGTTTGGCTTTCGAATTGATAATTGCATTTGTATTGTATCGGGCTATTGGTGAATTTGTGCAGGGATTTTTAATAGCATAGATTGATGATTGGCTGTCACTGATGATATGGACTGTGTCAGTTGGCGGAGCTCTTGCATACTGTAGAGGATTGCTGTCAGTTCAGCTTGGTGCACGCTGTTTAGATCTCTAAGGTGCCCTTGCCATTCTGTCTGTGAGCTAAGGTTGTATTGAATGGTTGCAGCGCTGCCAACCTTTTGTCTGATCTTTGAGCCATCAGTGAAAGCTGTGTATTCCATTGTGGGTGGTGGTTTGTCGAAAATGCAGTGAGGGTTTTGGGGATTCAAAGCTGGGTGATGAAAGTACTTTTTAGGCTGATCTTCATAGTCTGCTGGGTGGATTGTGGTATCATTAAAGTTACTTGTTTTCTTGAGTTGGAGTACTATTGCGGAAATTCCGTCCATTTGTGCTTGGATTGGGAACGGGAACACACCTGCCAGTGTCTGTAGGGTGTTGTTAGAAGTAGTTGAGAATGCTCTGGTGATATTTATAAGGAAAGGTCTTTGTACGGCGTTTAGAGCTCACACCTTTCTGGTGGTCATAGGTATTGCCCAAATAGCGGCTCCATATTTGGTGATCTTGTTCACTACGGTTGTGAGTAGTATTTTCATAATTCGGTGGTTCAAGTCCCATGAGTAACCACACATTGTCTTCAGAGCTTGTGCTATTTTCATAGTGGTGAGTTTTTTATTGTGTAAGTGCTGAATCCAGTTGAACTTGTTATCAATAATGAGGCCGAGGTAGTTAATCATTTTCACGCATCAGATAATATGGTTGTCTATGTTAAATGGGGGAGTTCAGGTTATAGTACATCCCAGTTTGTGAACAATCAGTGCCTGCAATTTTTGGTGTAAGATCTGTACTTTTATTCTTTTGCATAGAGCGTTAAAAATTTGAAGGGTGCTATTGCAGTTTTCCTGGAGTTGTTCTCTGGTGCGGCCGTTGATGATGAAAGCTACATCATTTGCAAATGCTACGATTTTTGTGTGGGCAGGCCAGTGATGGTCAATAATATGGTTAAAGGTGAAATTCCAAAGGTCCGCGCTCATACACGATCCCTGTGGACATCCTCTTGCTTGTTGCTTTGTGATGACTGTGTTGTTGTGAAGTACTATGCTTTTTCTATTAAGCAGGTAGTCAGTTGTTAGATAGAGGTTTCTTGGACATTGAAGGTCTCAGGCCACCAAAGGGAGTCGTGTTCTTTAGGTCGAGGCATAGCAACGCAGAGTGTAGTTGTTGGCCTTTGTTAACTTGGATTTGTGTTAGTGCTGTATCGATGGCATGAAATGAGTTTCGGTTTAATCGAAAAGAGCTGATTTTCCTGTGGCTTGAATCATGTATTTCGAGTCTGGAGGAGTAATTTCCGGTTAAGCTGCTCCGAATTGGCGAGGAGCTAGGTACGAGCTTGGATTTCCTCTGGATTTTGTCTTCTTGAGAAGAGCACTATTTTGAGGAGCAATTTGTCCAATTTTAAAACAATCGGGAAAACAGTGGTGAGCCAGACATTTGTTGTAAAACTTGAGTAGAATTTCTGTAGATTCTTTGTTGATGAGCTTAAGCACTTGGTTATTAATGCCATCGGGGCCTGGTGTTTTGGCGTTTTTAAGGGATTTTACGATTTGAAGCATTTCTTTTCTTGTGAATGGAATGTCATCTGGTGTTTTTTGGTGTTTGTGTGGATACTCTTAGTTGTTTTTGCTCTGGTGTATCTTCTGCACTGTCGTCTTTCACGAAGACTTGGTCGAGGATACTGTTGATGGTGGTGCTCGTGAGGTCCGTGCCATTACTTTGTGATGTATTGGTTGTTGCGTGGATTTGAGTTGATTTAGAAATCTTGGAAGTGGTCATTTTGTAAAGGGCTCCATAGGTAGTTTGATTTTTAGTACAGTAGGTAGTCCAGGATTTTAGTTTTGCTTAAAATAGTTTCTTTTTGTAGATCGCACGTTGCTTGTTATAGTCGATCCATGCTGCTTTCTGTTCCTTGTCAGTCGTTCTCCTTTTCATTTTTCATCTTAGAGCTTTGGTTTTTTGGCGTTTTACTCATAGTTCCTTGGTCTGCCAGTTGGGCTTCATATTGTGGTTGACTGTTTTGATTTTAAGAGACGTATGGCTGATTTCTTGGATATGCTTGGTAAGAGTTGTGGCATATGCATTCGCTTTATCTTTGGATATTTGGAGTTGATGCTTTGAATTTCATGGAGAATGATATGTGCTTTGGAGTTCAGAGCTTTATTAAATTTCTTTTCTGCATTTCGGTTGATGCGATAACGTAGCATTTGAATGTGCGGAACCTCGAATACGATTTCAAAAGTAATTATTTGATGGTCTGAAATGGACTCATCTTCGCAAATGCGACGATTGTTAATCCTGTTGATTAAGTAATGGGAAGAGAAAAGTGTTATGTCTGGCAACCCTTTTCCGTTGATTGTGAAAAAGGTTGGCGGGTCTTCTAGGGTATTGTGTAGTAAGAGATTATGGGAGGTGATGAAATCTACCATCAGCATGCCTCTGGTGTTGTTTCGGGGATAACCCCATAAATTACTATGGGCATTAAAATCTCCAGAAATCAAATGTTGGCATGGGTGTCTTTGAAGTATATGGTAGAGGTCGTGAAGTGTAGTCTCTAGTTCCTCACTTGGTGACGCGTAAGCGCTGGTGAAGTAGAGATCTGAATTTGATGTTGAAATTGAAATAGTGATAATATCTTTGTACTTCTTGATAACTATTGGTGACCACTTCTTGTTGATGATGTAGATGGCAGCTCTGGGTGCTTGAGATGAGTCCGTCGCTTCGTGCGAAATTACATTCCATGTCGTCGGCAGGTTTCATAAAGATCCTTGTTGACAGTACGGTTCTTGCGCCAGGATGATGTCATGGTGTTGTTCTGAGATGTACTGAACGAGATTGTCGGTGGCAGTTTTGGAGTGTTGGAGGTTAATCTGAAGTACCTCAATGCTGTCGTTGTTCGTTGAATGACATATTAGGGCCGTAGGAAGGTGGGTTGATGTAGAAGTCGGATTCATGGTGGAGTTACTCATGATATTGTGTGCGATTACGAATTCTATTTACTTCTTCTCTGTAAGAGGAACAGGAATTGGTATATGCAGAATGATCACATTCGTAGTGAGAACCGTAGTGTTCATTATTTATTTCACAGTTGATGCATGTTGGAGAATCTGAGCGACATTCACTTTCTCGATGTTTTCCACCACAGTAGGCACAACGAGGGTGGTATGTGCAGTCTTTAGACCGATGGCTGAAGGCCTGACAATTAAAACATGTATGGGCACCTATAAACTCCGAAATGCTGCTGGTGTTCCAGCCGAAGTGTACGGAGCGGAGGGACATGTATTTTTGGAATCCAGTAGGAGAGCACTCCACGATCCATTTTATTGTATTCTTTCTGTCTTTGAGTTTAAATAATGGCTTAAAGTTGATAGTATCCATATTCGTGGCATGTGAGAGTGTTTGATAGATGGCGTCAGCAGTTGTAGTCGGAGGTAATCGATGTATAGCACATTTCGGCGTTCTCATCTTCGGAACTTTGGTGTGAATTATCTCTGTGGCCTTTTCTGAGTGCTTAAATAGGTTATCTACTTTTATTACGTCATCTTTAGAGGTACAATGCGCTGCTATTCCACATTGTTTAATTGGGATTATCTTTTTGATCTGTTGTTTCACCTGGTTAATAGGGAGAATGCCTTCTAATTTTTCTTGAAGTTTTGTGACGTTCCTGGCATCGTTGGCATAAATGAGGAGGACTGGGTCCTTATGTTTCTTGCTTGCCATGTGGGCGTATGATGGTAACGGTGGGGTTGTGTTAGGATGCTCGCATGAACGGGTGACAATCTCAGTGTGCTGATGTTGTTGACAATCATCTGATTGGTGGGAGTAATCAGTTGGTGTTGATTGGTCAGCAGATCCAGCAGCAAATAACAGCCCCAAAGGAAAGTAGATCTGCTGTACTGTTGGTTGCTAGTTGATAAAGTGCTGTTAGAAGAGCATGTAATTCTTTGCGGAGTGCAGTTGGAATTGCATACTTTAAGCAGTACCTGTAGTTTGCAATATTGACACAGCGAGTATAGATACCGTGCACTGAAATGGGTAATACTGTATCGTTGTTTTCTTGTTGTACTGCCAGCAGATTATCACAGATCCTTTGACAACTGGGGGTGCCTTCGGTGTTGTCATTGTCGTTGTTAGGGAGAAATGTGTCGTGTTGCGACTTGATTGTGGCACAGTGTAAGTGTGTGATACACAGAGTGAATGTAATACAAATATGTAGCAAATCACTAAATACTAGAAGTAATTAATACACAAATAAACTGGACTGGATTAATGCTAGGAATAATATTACGTACAATTCAAGTGCAGTTCAAATATTAAATAGAAAATAAGACGCTTGACTGCAAACAGTAAAGATCACTCGTTTAAAGTATTAAATAGAAGAAATGAGTACTATTGCAAAAAATTCAATTACTCAATCATGACATAAAAAGGAGATATTGATTGATGTGATATTAAATAAAATGCGCTAAAAACAAAAGATTCAATACACAGGGCTCGGGGGTCAAAAGAGAAAGGGTTGGGGAAAGATGAGTACTAGGAGTATGCGGGAAAAAGAGGGGGAAGGAAACATGAAATAGAGTGTTAATTTTTAAAGAGGGGGAGGAGATTAATGGAGAGGTTGGTGCATTACGTTTTTAGAAACTAGGAGGGGAGAGGAGAAGAAAGGAAAGGAAATTAAGAGTTTCCGAGAATTGTGTGTGTAGGGGAGAAACGGAAGAAATAAAATGTTAAATAAAATGAGGGGGGAGGGAAAAATTAGACAGGGATTAGTGCGTATATGTTGATAGAGACTAGGGAGGAGAAGAGAATTGGGAATTGAGAGGGAAAAGTGAAATTATATTAGATGGAGTATTAAGGGCTATTTATTATTAAAATTTGGAGTGCCTAGGACAAAAAGAAAAAATTGTCGCTAGGGGTAATTAAGAGCAAGATTTAGGGTTAGGGGCCTCTGATATTGAAACTTTGAGGGGGAAAAAAAAATAAAAATGCCTTTGTGCTCTGGTTAAGACTAAAAAAAAAAATGTGCTATTATATTTGGAATACCAAAAGCTAAGGCAGTAATACATTATCAAGAATCACAACGGTATAATATAAACAGTGAAATTCAGATATTATGGCAATAATAATTCTTAAATATAATCAGACACTAGATAAAACTAATTGAACATAAAGGAATAAATACTACATGACGAAAGACAATATATTGAATAAAAAGCACAATAAAACAGAGCTAAAGATATAAGCCAGCGCTGTAAAGACAAATTCTAATCAGAGTGCACAAATTAAGGTGTTAAACACAATTAAACACATTGAAACTGTATTATAACAGTTTATAGAACAATGATAGTAATAGAACAGCTATTAAGATAGTGACATTCAATTAGACAATGATAATAAACAATCATTCGCTTAAAGGCAAGGAAATAAGTTCAAAGTCAGTGGCGGGAAGGTTGTTGTTGTATAGAATACGACCGCAATGGCGGACTTTGTCGGCAATCGCTAAGTACAGAGGCTGTTCACACATTTTTTAGAGGATGTATATTGTATTCACAAAACTAAATTACATAAAATTCTTGCATTTTAAATGTTCTATTTGACATCCCTTATTCTGAACTATCTTTCGACACCGCAATTTCCAGGATAATAATGCCTTTTGAAGTGGCAGAAGAGGTATTCTATCCCATTCCTCCCGAACAGCTTTCCAGAGTCCTGTTAGGGTTTTGGGACAACGTTTAGATAATGCAGTTTTTAAAAGTGTGAAGCACAAAAATCCATAGGTGACACATCGGGAGATTTAGTAGGGATATCAGTGAAGGATATGGCCTTGATAATAGTTTTTTTGTTCCATTTCTTTTAGGAAATTTACAGTGGATTTTGATGTGTGACTGCTAGCTTTGTCGTGATGGAGTCTCACAGATTGATGGCACTGTTGGTAAAGCAATGGTATTTCGTTCAGAAAAATTGGCAATAAAATATGTTCCTGATACTATTTGGAGTTAATCTTTGGAGTTAATCTTGACATTTTTTTGCTCTCTTTTTATTTTTAACTTGTTATTATAAGAAAAACCAGCAATAATCATGAATTCCTTAGAAAAACTTTCTTTTGATTCTTTGAACCATGTACTTAAATTTTTTCTCCCCTTTTTATGATAATAAATGGCTCTTTTTTTGTTACAGTCATTTAAATACACCCATGCTTCATCTATTGTGACAATTGTTTTCCATTTTTCTTTGGATAAGTGTTTCTCATATAGAATTCTGCAGCGTGTCCTGCGTTGAGCGATATGCTTAAGCATATCGCTTATATATTATATACAGTGAAGATGATGCACATTGCGTTTTTTCGCTTTCTTAAGATTTAAATCAATGTTTATCATTTTGTTTACAGTGGACACCGAGCATTTTAATAATTTTGCAACTGTCCTTTGACTAGGGGGATTTTCTTTTAACATTAAGCAACGTACCTTTGCAATAGTCGAAGATGTCTGTTTTTTCCTTGGATACTTGTTTGGAATTTTTGGTCCCACTTGAGGCTCCAATTTGACGTTTTTTTTTCCTTTCTTGTTGATGATATTACCTATCGATTCTTTAGATATCACAAAACCATGACTCCACATCGTTTTTGGATAATGGAGTATGCATATTTCTCTTCGGAAAGAGCATAAATGTAGCCTTCGAACCACTGCTTTGTTAAATTTGCCATTTTGAATAAAAACAAAACTTTCAAGCCACAGACAATAATTTTGACTTTTAAAAACAGTACAATTGCAATTACATCTTTTGCAGCAAACGATTTTTTATCACCGCTTGCCAAAATCGTCAAAAAAAATGTGCGAACAGCCTCTGTATAAATTAATGAAAATATTTTGACAACAAATCGTCATGAAATAATAAGGTAACACTGCAATTGTTGTAAATTTAAATTGAACAAAATAATCCTACCTTTGCAGGTATTGTCCTGTTATAATAGATCAGAATTAACACATTCTGGACTTAGAAAAATTCAGTGACACACCCTTGGACTTAGCACAATTTAATGTAGAACTTGGACTTAGCCCTAACTATGGCACCACGTGTTTCATGGCAAAAGCTTGTGCGTCGAGGGTGCAGCTAGAAGGTGCACAATTTCTCAGCACTTTGTGGATATCATAAGCGCATAAAAATGCATGTAATTTCCACAATTTCACTCACACACACACACAAAGACGATACTGATGCATAGTACAACACTTTACACACACAATATAAAAATTTTACACAAACATATAAAAATTTCCTTTGGCACTGTTGATATATCTGCTGAAAACAGTGATTTCGCGGAGCTTCGAAAAAAAGACTCTTACCCGTCCGCAGTCGTGTCCCTTTTTTGGAGTCAGGGGGGACTGAGAAATCAGCAATGCCCTTGCTGGTATTCAAATGCCTGATTGCCAGCCAGACATGCATTCAATTACACTAGGAAGGCACAAATTACATGGTAAGGAGGGAGGAAATATCTTTCTTCGGGGGATTGTGTTAGTACAATTCCCTGAAGAACTGGAGTTTTCATGCAGGAGGGGGAGGTAGTGGTATCCCAGGTGGTTTTATAAGTCAGAGAAGGCGTCTATATTGGTACAGTTGCTTAATCAATTTTACCTCTTGTTGAAATAGTTCATCTGAAACATTTTCTCCATGCTTAGCTTGAAGGAGTCTTTTATATTTCTATGAAAACAGGAATGGAACATCATCATGATTAAGCTTTACTGTGATCAAACATGAGTGAATATATGAAACATCAGTTGGGAAATGAGCAATTTGTGCCCTTTCATTTGCTGTAATCAGGTTCGTTAATAAATTTCAATCATTGTGTAGGGACATTTGTTATAAACAAACGCTATACGATGTCATTATGAACTATGTATATATTTTATTTCTAAACATTAAAATATTTGTACGATTCTTATACACTGTTCGTTTCAGTTATACTGGTATTGTAAGTTTGGACATTAAGCATTTAAAATGTGCTTATCTCAGTTGAGGTATATATGTGGTATCTTGATTAGAATATATTTTGGAGAAAGGCTTGGAGAAAACATTATTAAATTTTTATCTATATATATATTATTTAATATTTACTCTAAAAAAGCAATTTATTTTTATGTTAAAAATTGTGCTTTTTAAATATGCATATTTATTAGTTTTTGTCTTTCTCCAGAATGTTGCAGATATAAAGAAACTGAAAACTTCTGGTATATGTACCATTAAAGTGAGATTCATTATTTTAGACATATATAGTATAATATGAATATTTTCTTGAGATATTTTTATGCTGCACTAAATAAATATATTTAACAGGGTCTGCAAATGACAACTAAAAAGAAACTAAATGCTATCAAAGGTCTGTCGGAAGGAAAAGTAGATAAAATTAAGGAAGCTGCAACAAAAATTGATGTATGACCCTTCTTTTAATTAAATTTTTTGTCATTAATTTTTATTTTAAATATAATTTTAAATATAAAGAAGATCTTATTTTAATTTAAAAAGAGCGTAGAAAAATTAATATCTATATATACACTCTTTTGCAAAAAAATTGAAGTACCATGAAGGAAGTGGTTGTTTTTGATGAAACTGAATATGTGTATAGCTCATACACATATAATAAAATTATAAAAAATCAAGGTCATAGTACCTGTTCATGGCTCACACTCACACACTGAGTGTTCAAATTAGTAGCTGGTTGAACCGCTCCTGGTGGCAGTGGGTGCTTGAATTCGTTAAGGCAAGGAGTGGTAGAGATTCCTAATGTCATTCTGCAATACATTCTGCCAGGCATTCATCAGTTGTCGCTACAGATCTGTGGTATTGAGTGGTGCCTGAATCTGGTGGCCCACTATGTCCCAGACATGCTCGATTTGGAAAAGGTCTAGTGACCTTGCTGGTCAAGGAAGAGTATCAACTCCACGGAGACAATCCAGAGATATGCGAGCGGTATGTGGCCTGGTATTATCTTATAGGGAAATGGCCTCAGGATGATGTGCCATGAAGGGTAATGCAACGAGCTGCAGGATGGTATCAACATATCATTAAGCTGTTAAAGTTGTACGGAGGATGACTAAAGATGTTATAAGAAATGCTGTTATAAGATGAATATAAGAAATGCTGTATAAAGATGCTGTTATAAGAAATAGCCACATCATCATCCCACACCATCATACCAGGGGTTATGGCTGTATGCCTTTGTAAAACAAAGACTGAGAGGGACAGCTGGCCGCGTCCTCTCCAGACACGAACACGATGGTCATCTGCTTCAAGAGTGAAGCGTTATTCATCGTTGAACGCTATACGATGCCAATCTGATGCATCGATGATGATCAGCTGCGACTTCACTCCAGACGACTCAGCGCTGTGAGATGGTGGATGATTCCTAATGTACCACAGGAGGTATAGACATGGCTATAGTGTGTTGAGTAGTCGACAATGATACCGTTGGGGTGGTTCAGTAAATTCTATTTATAAATTTTAAAATGAAAATTATGGATTAGTGTAACAGATCATTCTTTAATAGATTTAGTATTTACTTGAATCAGGCTGCAGCTGCATTTATATAAGGATGAGAATAAACAGTAAAAACATGTTTATGTGAGATGTATTATTTTGTACTAAAATTATATTGTTACACTCAGAAGGTTAAAAAGACACACAGAGTCCAATTGACTACAGTTTTTAAGATCATGAAAATAATTTGTTTATATTTTGTAAACGTGACAGAGAATCTGATGAATAAATTAAGTAAGAGGAACAAACCATAGTAATTAGATATTAATATGATGATTTTTCTTCATCTTTAAAAAAGAGCATTAATTTTTAATTTCATGTGATTGTGATACCAACTCAGGAAAGGTAAACTTTTGGAGCCCTTTATGTTAAAATATAAACTTGCAAAGGTATAGATTGTTGTAAGAAAGGTTAAAACAAAATGTGAAATATTTTCTCTGATATTAAAATATGTAATCGTACATTGTCACATATCTCTCTCCAGTTATCAATCAGCTGCCTCCTTATCGCCAGTGGAGAGCTAGCAAGGGAGACAGTCAATTTAAGACTGGACTTGTCTGGAGAACTTCGATAGAGTGTTTACATCCGAATTTGAGTCCAAGTTTGGTTTTTAGCTAGTGTGGCTGATGTAATTTTGTAGGGTGTTGAGTTAACACCTGAGTTTAAATTCATGTAAGCCAATGTTTGTTTCCTTAAACTGTATCCATTAACCAGTGTAATTATTCCTGTATATAAAATTGTGTTTGTAGGTAATAAAAAATGATAAAAATTAGATCTAGAAAAATTAGATGTGGGATATAATATCTTTGCCATCCTATCTACCATGACATATATATTAGAACATTGTTTTTTGTATTATGTTATGATAAAATATGTGTCTGCAGAATATAATATTTGAAATATTTATATTATTTTGAAATAGAAATATTTTATTTATATATTTATTGTCTAAAGCTGACTATTTTGGGCATCAAAGCATTTTCATTTCAATTACATGATTTATGAAAGGCTACTACTAATATTTTTGTTAGTTAAATAGAAATAAATGTTTTTGTTCACTTGCCAAGTTTTCAGAAATTGATGATTTAAAAAAAGTAAAGTCTGCTATTAAGGATATTTTTTTGATGGCTTTGTGAAGAGAAATGATCAATGATATCTATTCATTAAATTGTAATTCATGTGAAAGAGAGTGCAAGGAAATGGAAAGCAGTTTGCGGAATGTAAAATTAATAGTAAATAAATTGCTAGGTCATCAAAAATTTGAGTGCATTTCATTGAAAAATAGTAAAGGATCTATATCACATTTTAAATTACACAGTAGCAAAGTTTTTTTTTTGACATGACTGAATATTAAAATACTTCTCTCTCTTTTTTTGAGAAAGGGCATGCATAATATTTCTAATACAATTTTCACCATGTGTTCCTTAACATTTGAGCACTATCGTTCTAATATCTTCAATAATATGTTGCCAAGTTCAATAATGTTAATTAAATAGGACACATAATCTTTTATGAATCTGAATAAAAAGAGTTCTGGAATTGTTATGATAAGGATTAACCTGGCAATGAATCCACAAAACATTCTTAGATTTCTTTATATGTAAAAAAAGGCCTTGCTTTACTCATTCAAATTATATGCTATTGTTGAACTTAAACATTGAATTGTGGTAGCACTAAAAGAATATATCCCTAATTGCAGAGAAAGGCATAGCAAGAGATTATATTGTAACGTATTTTGCAGTATTTAACAAAACAGATGATCTTCTTAGCAAAACATAAATTATATTTTTAATTTACGGAGATAGATAATTTGAATACAGTCTTTTAGTTACAAATTCTTCATACATCCAATACTGGTAAAACTTTTAGAATTACAATTTTAAACAATTTCTTACATTGCTGAGCAATGGTTACATGATACAAATATGGTGTTGCCACTCCAATATCAAAGGATAATAAATATAATTATTTGTTAAATAATAAAATATTACAATATATTAACCGGATTATTGTATGTGCAGCAAAAGGAACACATGTTTAATAATTTATCCTCCTTTAAATAAAACATTTTATTTTAAAGCATATTTATTTTATTTTAAAATGCTTTAGGAAACAAAGGAATAAAATAGGAGCAGAATTTTACAAAAATGAAATTCCATCTGTTGAATATTGAAGTATCATAAGATTATCCTCAAAATTCAATTTGCTTGATTTTGGTAGCAGTAAGTCAACATTAATCATTACACATTTCTACAGCTCAGTTTTGTTATACACTCTTCGAGAAAAAAAAAAAAGACGCACCAAGAAGAAGTTATCTGAATAGGACGAAAATCGGTATAAGTGATGTACATGTACAGAAAAACAAATGATTAAAGTTTCAGAAAAATTGGATGATTTATTGAAGTGATAGAGCTTCACAAAGTGAAAAAGTCAGGAACGTGTTTGTCCACCTCTGGCCCTTATGCAAGCAGTTATTCGGCTTGGCATCGATTGGTAGAGGTTGTGGATGTCCTTTTGAGGGATATCGTGCCAAATTCTGTCCAACTGGCACGTTAGATCATCAACATCATGAGCTGGTTGAAGGGCCCTGCCCATAATGCTCCAAATGTGCTCAATAGGAGAGAGATCCGGTGACCTTGCTGGCCAAGATAATATTCGGCAAGCACTAAGGCAAGCAGCAGAAACATGCACAGTGTGGGGGTGGGCATTATCTTGCTGAAATGTAAGCCCAGGGTGGCGTGACATGAACGGCAACACAACGGGCCTTAGAACTTCGTTGACATACCGCTGTGCTGTAAGGTTGCGATGGATGACAACCAAAGGGGTCCTACTATGAAATGAAATGGCATCCCAGACCATCACTCCTGGTTGTCGGCCTATCTGCCGGAAGACAGTCATGTTGGTATCACACCTCTGTTCCGGGGTGTCTCCAGACTCGACTTCGCTGGTCATCGGGGCTCACTTCAAAGCGGGATTCATCACTGAAGACTATTCTATTCCAGTCCGTGACATTCCAGTGCAAATGAGCCCGACACCACTGCAAACGGGCTTGATGTAGTACAGAGGTCAATGGTAGTTGGCACAAGGGACGCCATGACCTCAGTCCCCTTTCTATGAGCCGTCTATGAATGGTCCTCGCAGTCACTGAAGCACTAGTTACACGCACAATCGATGATGATGATGCATCTTGGACTGTGAGTGCCGCTCTGACGATTGCTCGGTCTTCACGTTCTGTTGTTTCTCTAGGCCTACCGCTTCCTTCTTGACGCTATGTGCGGCCATAGTTCACCCATTCCTGCCAACATTGTGTAATAGTGTATCGCTCCTGCTCAAATGTCAAGTTATTCGCCGGTAAGACCAAACGGCTTTGAGCCCACTACACAACCTCTCTCAAATTCTGACATCTGCGCACATCAAATTCTGACATTGCACCTGTATGCGAGGCATAGTTGCTGTCTACCAGAGTACACAGAATGAAATTCGTGAAGAATTTATGATCTGGAATCGTAATTTCTCCTCTTAAATATCCTACCAGGTGCACAGATCAGATACGTTGTAGCGACAACCGTTCATTCATTGGCAGCCAAAATGTAAAATTTCGCATTTTCTGTCGAAACCTGTATGCATATCAATTTGTGTCCAATTTTCTTTATATTTTCTCGATGCATCTTTTTTTTTTTTTTTTTTTTTTTTTTTTTTGTCTAAGAATGTATTTTAAAAAGGGGCAATTCATATGAAATATGTTCAACAGTCTGACATTGTGTTGATTCTTATGGACACAAAGAGAATTAGTATGTCATGCCTAAATAAATATTCATTGATTCTGACATGATCAGAAAAATTTGGTCTAATTATCGTGTATTTTATCATATTTGATTAAACAAACAGAAATAAAT